GCAACTAACAGGGCCTCACCTGTCACCCTCATTAGTTAAATTCTTCGTCACTTGGCAATAGCTAGCCTGCCAGTACGCTAAATGGATTAAACTAATGGTGGCTTTGTATAGTCGTATGCCTCGAGGTCCCAAGTTACTGGGATACTGTCTGTACCCAACACCTCATCCACTTATACTTTACATATACCAGAACCGGTTAGGGATATGTCAGGCATTCGTGACTTATCCAAGTAATTATGAGGTATGGTAGAACGAATATATTTTTGTATGTTACACTTCTATTACAGGCTTACTGCCTCATCGGTTCTGGCACACCACAACCAACTGGTGTTATTAACTATGATGTTATTACAAATTATATGTCATCTAACCATTACGGCAATAATGCCCCGACCACAATGTAATGCGCTTTGGACTATGTTGGTGCTATAAATACAACAGAAGTATAGTGTGAAAAAGCCAGATGCAGAACACCAGGATTAAAGCGATATATAAAAACTGTTATATTGCTCCAGTATCTGCAATGAAATCCTCATACAATGATGAGATCAGCTTTCAGTTTTGGAGAGGTGCTGGAAATCTTATTTTGGGGGATACTTACAGAGACACATATACTACGAAATATGTCACATTTATTCTACTTTCCCATGTAAACCCTTTATACAGCTCTCGCAGTGTCTTAGTAATGTTAGATTCAGTGACTGGTGGCTCTAAGTGCCGTGTCTCTAGAAAGTAATCTGCAAACTGTGCGATATATATTATATCAGGGAGCAATGTGCTGCAGACTGTGTATTAGAAAGTAATCTGCAAACTGTGCGATATATATTATATCAGGGAGCAATGTGCTGCAGACTGTGTATTAGAAAGTAATCTGCAAACTGTGCGATATATATTATATCAGGGAGCAATGTGCTGCAGACTGCGGCTCTGTATGAGAGAGGGATGTGCTCCAGTATGTGATGTAATCGACATCCTGAAGCCAAGTGTCTGGGAACTGAGCCCAGAGTCAGAGACTAAACACAGTGACTGTGAATAGCCAGCCAGACATACCCTTCACAAAGCGACACACAGCAAGAAATGAAATGAAAATCAGAAGGTAAACATACATTTTGTAAGAAAAAACGTGCATCATCAGAGACATGGAGAGAACAAGCATGAAAAGACAACATACTAACCCTAACACGGTTACATTTAACATAGATTTTTGACACTTTTGATAATCAACAGCTTCTACTCATCCTCCGCAATATCAGTCTACAAGATACTGGGCTCTCCAGGTGCTCCTCCTACTTCTCCCAGCGCTCTTTCAGTGTTTCTTTCTCTTGCTCTGCTTCTTCTCCCCAACTCCTCTCTGTTGGTGTCCCCCAAGGTTCAGTCTTTGGTCCCCTACTGTTCTCTATCTATACTGCCTCCCTTGGTAAACTCATTAGCACCTTTGGCTTCCAATATCATTTCTATGCAGATGACACGCAAATCTACCTGTCCTCTCCTGATCTCTCCCCGTCCCTCTTGACTAGTGTCCCAGACTGCCTCTCTGCTATTTCTAACTGGATGGCTGCCCACTTCCTTAAACTCAACTTGACCAAAACTGAAATTCTGGTCTTTCCTCCCTCAGGTGTTGCTACTCCTGTGTCTGTCTCCCTCCAAGTCAACGGTGCTACCATCAGCTCCACCACACAGGATCGCCGTCTAGGTGTTCTCTTTGACTCCGACCTCTCCTTCAAGCCTCATGTTCAGTGTATCGCCAAATCCTCTTGTTTCCATCTCAAAAACATTGCGCGCATCTGACCCTACTTAATGCCAGATGCTGGTCCATTCCACTCTCCTTTCTCGCCTTGATTACTGTAATCCGCTTCTCAGTGGTCCTACGTGCTCCCAACTTACAGTCCATAATGAATGCGGCAGCGAGGCTTGTCTTCCTATCCACCCGCACCTCCCATGCCTCACCCTTCTGTCAGTCCCTACATTGGCTTCCTATAAAATATAAAGCTCAATTTAAAATTCTGGTTCTTGCATTCAAATCTCTACATAATGCTGCTCCCACCTATGTTTCCTCCCTAATACACAAGTATGTTCTGTCTAGGCCCTTACGATCTGCTGAAGACTTACGTCTATCTTCTGTCCGTACTCCCACCTCTGATGCTCGCCTTCAAGATTTCTCGAGGGCTGCACCGTTCCTGTGGAACTCACTTCCCTCCTCAGTTAGATGCTCACCGAGTCTCCCCTCCTTCAAAAAATCATTAAAAACCCACTTCTTCATAAAAGCGTATCAATTAAACTGTTAATAGCTCCTGACTGATTCCTCTTCTGCAACTGTCACTAGTCTAATACTATCCTTACCTTTTGTGTCACTTTACCCCACTCCCTCTAGCAGGTAAGCTCATTGAGCAGGGCCCTCAATCCCTCTGTTACTGTGTCACTATACCCCACTCCCTCTAGCATGTAAACTCACTGAGCAGGGCCCTCAATCCCTCTGTTACTGTCACTATACCCACTCCCTCTAACATGTAAGCTCATTGAGCAGGGCCCTCAACCCCTCTGTTCCTGTGTATCCAACTTGTCTGGTTACAACTACATGTCTGTTCGTCCACCTATTGTAAAGCTTTCAGAATTTGGCGCTATATAAATAACATAATAATAATAATAATAATATATCAGAAATAAAATCTCATGGAGATGCTTACAGACCTTTTCCGCACATATGTCCTTGTTTCGCATCCCTAGAATTCTGTGATATAACCACCATCCCTAGAACTCTGTGATATTACCGCCATCCCTAGAACTCTGTGATATTACCACCATCCCTGCGACTCTGTGATATTACCGCCATCCCTAGAACTGTGATATTACCGCCATCCCTAGAACTCTGTGATATTACCGCCATCCCTAGAACTGTGATATTACAGCCATCCCTAGAACTCTGTGATATTACCACCATCCCTAGAACTCTGTGATATTACCGCCATCCCTAGAACTGTGATATTACCACCATCCCTAGAACTCTGTGTTATTATCACCATCCCTAGAACTCTGTGATATTATCACCATCCCTAGAACTCTGTGATATTACCACCATCCCTAGAACTGTGATATTACAGCCATCCCTAGAACTCTGTGATATTACCGCCATCCCTAGAACTGTGATATTACCGCCATCCCTAGAACTCTGTGATATTACTGCCATCCCTAGAACTGTGATATTACCACCATTACTATAACTCTGTGATATTACCGCCATCCCTAGAACTCTGTGATATTACCGTCATCCCTAGAACTCTGTGATATTACCATCATCCCTAGAAGTGTTATATTACCGCCATCCCTAGAACTCAGTGCCCCCACCACCATCCCTAGAACGATGTGATATTACCGTCATCCCTAGAACTCTGTGATATTACCGCCATCGCTAGAACTCTGTGATATTACCACCATCCCTAGAAGTGTTATATTACCACCATCCCTAGAACTCTGTAATATTACCGCCATCCCTAGAAGTGTTATATTACCGCCATCCCTAGAACTGTGATATTACCACCATCCCTAGAACTGTGATATTACCGCCATCCCTAGAAGTGTTATATTACCGCCATCCCTAGAACTGTGATATTACCACCATTACTATAACTCTGTGATATTACCGCCATCCCTATAACTCTGTGATATTACCGCCATCCCTAGAACTCTGTGATATTACCGCCATCCCTAGAACTCTGTGATATTTCCATCACCCCTAGAACGCTGTGATATTCCGCCATCCCTGGGACTCTGTGATATTACCGCCATCCCTGGGACTCTGTGATATTACCGCCATCCCTAGAACTCTGTAATATTACCGCCATCCCTAGAACTCTGTAATATTACCGCCATCCCTAGAACTCTGTGATATTACCACTGTCCGTCACAATAATGTGTGAATGTGCACCCACAGTGTGCATTTGGTACATTGTTAGTTTAAAATCGGTGCTTTATGAATATTCTACATCCTATAATTTGTATAGGTTTTGGATGCAAAAAGCACATATTGTATCACGACTGCGTCTGTCAGACTCGCACATTGCATGAGCCACAGGTATAGAACCATAAACACTGAGATCTATGAAATGTGCTTGTAAAAAAGACCATTCATTTGCACTTGCGTTCTCCTGGTGTGGGCACTGTGCCAGTATGGATTATACAGTTAACAGCCATGAATAGTTTCATTTATGGAAAAACATGAATTGAAAAAATGGCTTAATCCAGAGTGAATAGTTTAATCCAGAGAGGATTTGTTCCACGGATTTCCAAACTATTTAGTGCTGTGTTATGTGTATACATTTTGCTACCAAACCGATATTTAGCAAATAAACCCTTGAACTAAGAATGAAGGAAAAAGATAGAGTGAATTCTCATTTGCCAGTGTTTAATTGGAAGCAGACATAGTTGAGTAGAATTACATTTGTTTCAGCTGGAATCTACTATAAAATGCTTTAAAACTATTTTTCCCACGTGCTGCTATGAATACCATTCTCATGTTCCCTTTGTAAATACAATCCTCTCTTGTTACGGAACGTCACTGAAAGCTTTGTATCTGGGGAGGCTTTTTAGAAAAAGTTCAGCACAATTTCCTGGAAATTTAATGTAATTCCGTCATCAGAAAACGTTCTACCCGTCATCATAGAGGATTTTAAAAACTGTCCTTACTGTCCGTACCGGGTTTATTACCCGAACAGCGAACGGCAGTGAGTTAACGGATTAGCAAAATAACATCAAAACAGCTAACCTGGGACTCGATTTAATATTTTTAGACAGATTATAAAATGATTCAATCATTTGAAAAACATGTCACTGTTTTAATATTTTCATTTTTATATTTTAATATTTTTAAAAAATTTGAAAAGTGTATCCAAAACATACAACACGCTCCTTTTTTTATATTTTGCCCCAATATTATCCCTACAGTGTAAAGTGAGCAGTGGCATTTATATAATACAGACTTCAAAATAATTCATTTTAAACAGAGGCCTCAATTTAATAAGCTTTCCAAATGATTTATCTACAGAAATTCCCATCGACTTTAATAGCGAGGAATGTTTAAAACGGTGAAAATCAAGTCTTTGCTACTATCTTCATCTCACATTACTTTTTGCCTACTATGTATATATTACAGTGGTTGGTAGCATGTCTCAACTGCGGGGAAGCCCTGTCAGCCTATCAGATAATAGAGGCTGTAAATGCTGATAACCATTGGAATTGTAGGGAGTGACTGACTGCTCTCTGATTGGTCTGTCTCCCAGCCTGTATATTGTAGAACTAGTGAAAGCAATGACAGTAAATGTGGGATTGTTTGACGAGTCGTTTAAAAAGTTAACAAACAATCCTTTTCCCAATCCAAGTAATCTTTTCATGGCAAATAAGATTAATATTTAACATGTGTTATTTGTGCTTTGTGAACCTTAATCAATCATTAATGGCAAAAATAGTATATAAAGACAGGTGGGGAAAATAAAATGGAACGACTGCTTCATCTTCACCATGTTTTTATCTCTATATAATATATTTTCATGGGAAGTGGATATTTCTAGCAAGAATTTTCTAGCAAGGAATGCAACACCAGCTAAAGCTGACCCTATTACTGCTGCTGCTGGTGTCGCTCTTGTCGCGACCACTGCAGCAGCAAGACCCATCCCGGCTGTAGTTACATTTTTGTCTAAGCGTTGATTGTACTCTTTTTCAAACACATCTTGTTTCTCCTTCAGTTTAGACTGGAGCCGTTTGATCCATTCCACATGTTGGGATTTGGTTCCCACCAAGAATCCAGCAAATTCCTTGCAGAGGTCTGAGGACTTCTTAGAGACAATGTTCTGCATTGAGGATGAGGAACGACAGGCCCACTGCAAGACAGAGAAAGGGACACAGAGTATGAACATGCACCGGACACGAACATGGAGTGTTAATAAAATAGAGTTTGTTTTTATCTCAAAGCAAGAAGTAAACTCCATAAATTATATGTTTGATGATATTTCATATAAGAAAATACTATGAGGATATTACAAGTCATAGTTTGAGAAAGAAGAGCTAACTGTCTCCCAGACAAGACATGCCCTGATGACAAACTGCCCCATAATCAAGACAGTAAAAAAAATAAATGAGGGGTTTCCATACAATGAGCAATACATACATTTTTAACTATAGTCCAATCACACACAGGAGATTGTTCCAACCACAAAACTAGGGGTGCTACAGCGGGCTGACTCATAACCCCAACATTGATTTCCAAGTGAGATAAATCGCATCGATGGTGCCGGCCAAACAGGGATGGACCTACACAGAAAGGAGTCAGGCCCATCTGAAGATTCACTCAAAGAATAGGAACATGAATCTGGCATGATTTTGGCATTGTAGCCCTGAGTGCAATGTAATATTGAGAGAAATAATTTATCCAATTCCATAATCTGTGACAATGCTACTTTATTGCACCAATTGTTCAGCATAGTGTGGGTGTACTACTGTGGGGACAGGGTTTAAATGCATTGAGGGTAAGTGTAATTCTGCAAATTTGGGTTATTATTGCCATTTATATAGTGCCAACAGATTCCGTAGCGCTTTAGAATATTTTTAGAGGTGGGATTTAACTATAAATAGGACAATTACAAGAAAACTTACAGGAACGATAGGTTGAAGAGGACCCTGCTCAAACGAGCTTACAGTCTATAGGAGATGGAGTATAAAACACATTAGGACAGGAAATAGCAGTCAAATTAGGTTGGAGAGAAGTAGAGCTGGAGGAGAGAGTAGAATGCTGCCCTTTAGGAGAGAGCAAGAGACTGGTATGTGAGGTAGAGGTTACTCTGGGAGGCCATAATCTTTCCTAAAGAGATGGGTTTTAAGGCACTTCTTAAACGATTGAAGACGAGGGGAGAGTCTGATGGGAGTAGGCAGGCTATTCCATAAGAAAGGAGCCACCGCGAGAGGTCCTGCAAGCGTGGCCGTACGGGTGCGAGCAACGGTCAGGATGTGGTCACGGGCAGAGCGGAGGGAACGAGGAGGGGCATACCTATGGATCTGTGAAGAGATAAGAGGAGCTAGATTTGTTCAGTGCTTTATAGGTATGGGTTAGCACTTTGAATTAACTCCTATAATATACAGGAAGCCAATGTAAGGACTGATAGAGGGGTGAGGTATGAGAGGACCAACTAGAAAGGAAAATCAGTTTGGCGGCAGTATGACTTTTGGGAAGACCAATTAGGAGAGGGTTACAATAATCCATGTGGGAAATTACTAGAGCATGGACAAGCTCCTTGGTAGCATCTTGTGTAAGAAAGGGGCGGATGCGGGCAGGGACGATGTAAGGATTTTTGCCGCCCCATGTGACATCACAATGCCCCGCCCATATGCTCTGCCAAATAGGCAACGCCAGTCTTCACAATGTGTCTTTTATCTGAAAAGACAGTGTGTTTACATTAAAAAGCCTACAGGCACAGGCTATAGACACCAAAACCACATCATTATGCTGTAGTGCGTCTGGTGACCATAGTATCCATTTAATGTGAGGTAAGTTAGAGATTAGTGCCACTAATAATATATTGGATTGCCTACTTACCACCAGATGAGGACAACAAGCTGATGATGGGCTCTGTCTGGCTCCACAGGTCTGGTGTAGAAGAGGCTCACTGGAGACTGTTTGTAACAGTGCTCACAACAATTAACGAACAGGAAGCAGCTCCATTTTTTAGGGCCCCTTACACAGCTCAGGGTCTGGGCCCCCAGGGCTTGACCGTGAGTATGCCTACAATGCCCACCCATAAATCCACCTACATGGCCCACCCATGAGTTCTCTCACAGGAAGTGGAGTGTATGTGTGTAGGGGATGTTTTATGTGTTATTGTAGAGGATGCAATGTGTGTGTGTTCTTATAGAATGTAGTGTATAGGGATACCAATTTGTGTAAGGGATGTAGTGTGTGTATAGTGGATGCAGTGTGTGTTTGCGTGTAAGGAATGCATTGTATGTTTCTGTGTGTGTGTGTGTAAAGGGTGCAAGGTGTGTTTCTGTGTATGTAATTGAATGCAGTGTGTGTCTGTAAGGGGTGCATTGATTGTGTAAGAGATACATTTTGTTTCTGTGTGTAAGAGAATGAGTGTTTGTGTGAACGTAAGGGATGCATTGTGTGTTTCGGGTGTGTCTGTGTGTGAGTAGGAATGCATTGTATGTTTCTGTGTGTGTGTGTGGGGGGGGGGTGGATGCATTGTGTATGTGTGTAGTGTAAAAGATAGGATTTGTGGGGTAGGATAGGGACTGAGAGAGGAGCAGCTCTTTATTTTTTTTTAAAAAAATTCATAGTACTCTCCCCTCCTGTCAATTATTGATTTCCCCTTCCCTCCTGTCCCTCTGTGTTCTCCCCTTCTGTCCCTTAGTGCTCTCCCTTGGCCCCCTGTCCCCCTGCAGTCCTCTCTTGTTGGTCTTCTCACTCCCCCCTCTCCCCCTTAGTGGTCCTCCAAGACTGGGCCTTAGTGGTCCTCCCTCTCCCAAACCCCTTAGTGGTCCTCCCTCTCCCAAACCCCTTAGTAGACTTCCCCTCCTACCCCCACCCCCTTAGTGGTAATCTCCCCCCTCCCTCAGTGGTCATTATCCTCCCCCTTAGGGTCTTGCCTCCTCCCTCTCCTTGGTAAGGATTCCTCCCTCCTTCCCCCTTTGGTGGTCCTTCCCCCTTAGTGGATTCTTCCCTCTCCCAAACCTCTTGGTGGACCTCCCCCCTCCTCCACCTCAGTGGTCCTTACCTCTCCTCCCTCGGTGGGTCCTTACTCCCCCACCCCCTCCCCTGTGGTCCTTGCTCCCCCCCTCCCACCCAGTGGTCCTTGCTCCCCCTTCTCCCAGTGGTCTTGCTCCCCTCTCCCTCTCTAGTGGTCCTTACTCCCCTTCCTCTCCTCCCAGTGGTCCTTACTCCCCCCTCCCCTGTGGTCCTTACTCCCCCTCCCCTCCCCTAGTGGTCCTTACCCCCCTGCCCTAGTGGTCCTTACCTCCCCTAGTGGTCCTTATCCCCCTCCCCTAGTGGTCCTTACCCTCCTCTTCTTTCCATCCTATGTAGTGTAGCCGGGCGGCACGGACCGCAGAACGCGGGACAGGAACTTCTGTTTCCTGTACCCAGCCCCTGGCGGACTGAAGGGAAGTGCTCACTCAGTGAGCATTTCCTGTCAGTCCGCCGGCAGCCTGGGTACAGGAAACAGAGGTTCCTGTCCCGCGTTCAGCGCTGCCCGGCCACACTACATTGAGAGACCGGCAGGAGGGAGCACTCTCCGCTTCCCTCCTGCCAGTCACTCAAATCCGTCCGCCCTCCATACAGCAGTGCTGCGCCACCTGAGGCTTGGATCCAGCGCCCCCTACTAAGTTGCGCCCTAGGCTGCTGCCTAGGTTGCCTTACAGGTAGCTCCGGCCCTGGATGCGGGCTATTTTTTTAAGATTGAATCTACATGACTTGGTAACATGCTGGATGTGAGGCTCAAAGGTGAGGCCAGGGTCAAGTATGACACCAAGACAGCGCGCCTGCAAGGATGGACTCATGTGGATACCATTAAGTTGAAGGGTGAGCAAAAGAGGAGGGCTAATGCTAGAGGGATATTACTAATACAATAAGTGTGGGGTTAATACTGCAGGTGTGGTATTAATACAGCATGATGTGGGGTTAATACTGCAGGTGTGGTATTAATACAGCATGATGTGGGGTTAATACTGCAGGTGTGGTATTAATACAGCATGATGTGGGGTTAATACTGCAGGTGTGGTATTAATACAGCATGATGTGGGGTTAATACTGCAGGTGTGGTGTTAATACAGCATGATGTGGGGTTAATACTGCAGGTGTGGTGTTAATACAGCATGATGTGGGGTTAATACTGCAGGTGTGGGGTTTATACTGTATTAACCTACACAATGCTGTATTAACCTCTCACTTACTGTATTAACCTACACAATGCTGCAAGTGTTGGGTTAATACAGCCTTTTATAGGATTAATACAGCAGGTGTGGTGTTAGTACAGCAGGTGTGGGGTTAGTACAGCCTTTTATAGGATGAATACAACATTCGTGGTGTTAATATAGCAGGTGTGAGCAGGGCCGGACTGGGAACTAAAAGCAGCCCTCGAAAAAAATTCTATGCCAGCCCCATAATGCGTCGCGTCAGCATAGTGTGCAGAGAGTGAAAAAATAACTTAAAATAAAAAACTATGACTCCAACGAAAGAACACATATAGGGCTTCAAAATAAACAAAAGTAGACGTACATTTGCATGTAATCGATG